CTGACCTATACGTTTGTGCCGGTGCTACCTTGACTGCATTGCAGTTGCCTACCAGGCAGCCAGCCCTAATATGAAATCAAAGTCAGCGGCACAACAATGCACCCGAAAAAGATTACACGAATAAATAAATAAATAGATAAATAAAACAAATAAATCCCATAACCTAAACTTCAACAGCACAACCCCAAAACCAGATTTACTAAATCTATTCAAAATGCCCACCCTCTCTGTGGCTATCTACCATCCCCGCTACGGCAACTACCGACACTGGGCCCTTCACCTCCAAACCCCGACCGAGTCTCTCATCTTCGAAGTCGACGGCGAACACCCCTCTTTTACCAAGGTGACATCTTCCGGCAACCCCCTTGAGTCCGATACTTGTATCGAATTGCTCCCCGTTAGCGACATCGGTGATTGCGATGTACCTACCGTGAAGGCTGTTGTCGGTGCCGCGCGAGTGGATAATGAGACCCTGGAGTGGGACTGTCAGGAATACGTGCTGGAGATTCTAGAAGAACTGGAGGAGGCGGCGGTGCTCGATGAAAGGGACCGAGATTACGAGTCTGTGAAAGAAGACTTGAAAGCGAGGAGGGGCCCAATGCTATAAATTGACGGATGGCGATGCCGAGGTCGGGATTGGAGCCCGAAGGTTCTACGATGTTGTACTATGAAGGCTTTCAAGTTAATTTTTCAAAAACCATGGTTCCATTATCATTATCATCAGCGTTCTCGACTGTCACCTCCATCCGAATCGTCGCCACACTTCCTCCCTCAACGCCGACGCTGTATCCCGCGTTCGCTCCATCGCCGACTGATTTTCAACCGCCCGACGTAGCAAAAAATGTAGACACTCTTCCGTCGTCCCCCACGCAAGACACTTGAACACCTTAGGAAACACCGATGCTGGTACAGCGCTACTGCTATTTTTCTCCGATGAATCCGGCTGGTACTCTGCCAATAACCCGCAGCTCACCTCGTCTGCCATCCCCTGCAACTGGCCCATCTCCAGCGGAATTGTAGGCAGACCATCCAGGATCCGGTGTCGCGAGATCGAGTACGCCCGACGGACACTCTCGGCGTTATGCGATGCCACGAAGAGTCGCGCGTCAGGGAACGGTGTCCCCTTGAGCTCCTGGAAAGGTGATCGTCGCGACAGTAGACTCTCCAAGATATGGTTGTAGTTGCGGTCCGTGTCGGTTTTGGTGTCGTGGATGCGAGACCGAATGTCGTGAGCGATGTAGGCACCTCGAACGAGCTTGATCCCAAGCGCCCAGCCTTCCTGGCCGGCGAGCTCGAGGTGTCGATGGATGTTCTCGGTGGAGGACTTCAAGTATGCCTGGACGGTATTGAGCACGACGACGCGCCCGTTGCGATTGAATTGTCTCATCAGGTCGATGGTCCATGCGTCGATCGCCGGCTGGAAGATCTGCTGTTCGGCATCGATCCAGAATCGAGAACCCTGCGCGGATGTCGCTTCGCAGATCTCCGTGATGGCTTGCTCGATATGAGGTGGGGGCACCGGATCCCCGCGCGCAAGGGCATCCACAGCTGCCGGGCCAGCCCCGGTGAGCCTGAGCAGCATTAGTATCTAGAGTTTGCTCATATTTGCTCTGTGGGGGAAAGTACATACTTGATATTAATGTAATCACCCTCACCGACCATCTTCAAGGTCCGTAGGTTTCCCTGTTTCCACTCCTCCACGGCACGATCCCCGATAGCCTGCGGGTTCTTCCATTCCTCGACGTGTGATTCAGCACCGTCGACCTTCGCCACCGACTCCCGGGCATATCCCAGGATCACGCCTTTAAACCCTAGATCCTTCATTCCCTGCACCGTGTCGCGGACCTCTCGCTCATTTGTCCCCGCACAAAAATGGTTGTAGATCGTCATCCGTAGGAGGTAGTTCATGGCCGGGTTCTTCGAAGGACTCAGCAACGGCGAGTTCGAATCAATCACATATTTCAGCAGCGCAACAGAAGGGTTCAGCAGCGGTGACGCCATGACAGATGTTAGAAGCAGCGATCGGAGTAGCGACTTGGTCGGTAGACCCGCCAGCGCCGGTTTCTTCTGCGACGAGACTTGGGGCAAGAGCGCATGATGGGCAGAGGATGCGGAAGCCGACTCGGTCCAAGCCTTAGACACAGAATAAAGTCTCTCTGGCCGCTTCGGCCAGGAGATCTTAGGTTTCATGGCTACGGACTTTTACACGTCTCTACCATGGCGGGGGAAACCCCGTGTCCATGACGAACTATTTATTCTTCTCTCTTACTACGGTCTTATCGATGGAGGGGCAATGCTTGGTTTCTAGTTTATCTTCCGTCTGTGCGGCTTGCCAACCGATTGGTCTTTCTGCAAGGATCATCGTTTCGCGTTGGAGTTGAGTTTATAGGGTCGAATGAGGGCTGACCAGATGCTTCGGGGGACGGTCCGTTTCGGTTAGGGTTTCCGTCCCTGCTTTGGCTTAGACTCATGCATCTGGTCTGCATTTCTTTCTATCTTCTGACCTTGATTCAATCTAAATTCATTTCTCTCCCCTAAAGTGCTTCGTCCCATTCACAATGGCATCCGCAAACGTCCCCCTCACACCTTGCTTCTCTAGCGTATGCAACCCTTGAATTGTACATCCTCTCGGCGAAGACACACTCTCCCTCAGCACCGCAGGATGCACTCCCTCCCTTAATAACCCGGCCATCCCCTCCAGACACTGCGCCGTCATCTCCAGTGCCTCGGGCCTCCTCAGTCCCTCAATCACACACCCATCCAGGATCCCATCAACCGGCACACACATCAACGCAGCCGTCGCCATCAGCATCGACCCGACATCAACCTGCTCCGGCTCCAGGAACTTCACCTTCCCTATCTGCTCAAACACCCACGCCAGAATTTCCGCGCGGTCTTCTGACAGCTCCGAATTTCTCTCCACAATAGTCATAGACTTACGCAACCGCGCCGCTACGTTCGGAATCGCTCGCGTGATCACCGGCTTCTCCAATTCTCTCGTCTCGGCACCCTGCAAGATAAACTCCAGGATCTGCGCCGGGGTCTTCCCGCCCATAACACTAATCACGAATTTGCCGGCTAGGGCCCCCGCGACGCCGGGCTCGGAGAGTATCCCCTCGGCCAGAAACGGCTTGCACCCGAGCATGATAATGTCGGCTTCTTGCATCGCTCGCACATTCTGCCCGTTTGTCACGGTCACCCGCGATGCGTCCGCTTGGTAGGTGGTGCGGAGGGCTGTGGCCGATTCGGCTGTTTTGGTGTTCACGATGAAGTCGGTGATCTTGGCCGTGGTGGGGGATTGGCGTGTTGCGTCTAGTAGGCCGCTGAGAATTGCGGAGCCCATGTTTCCTAGGTTTCGAGTCAGGATTCTGTTGAGAGTAGGGTTACGGAGTATGTACCGCAACCGATGAAGGCAAGGGTCGGCATTCTGGTGGTTTATTCGGGTTTGTTTGAGATGTGTTATTGATTGAGGGTAAAGTGTAAGTGTAATAATTCTTTGAAGCTTAGTCTTCAAATATATGGGCATTGTCGGGCGGGGGCTCCGATCTTCTTATCAAACTTATCTGTGCTTCGGTCTTGGTTCCGATCATCCGATCTTAATAACTACTGGCAGAGGTAAGTATGTATACATTATTTCTTAGTTGCCGAGCAACGGAAACTACTTATACCGTCTTCACCAAGTTTCAATTCTATACTATGCTATAGTTCATTTCTCACTCCCTTGTCACCTTATGCAGCATTGCTCTATCAAGTACACCCTTAATCGGTTAGTTTCAAGGGGAACTAAATATTGAATCTATATGAATATTGGTAATAAATAGATTATGGACACTGACAAGCGACCCGAGCGGAAGGCTCGTCGCATCAAACTTGCAGCCATCAGAGCAAAGGTCGAATGTCTTGGGTACGGTCATCTCAGTGCGGCGGATCTGAGCTCCTCTGATATACATTTCGGTCCAATGACTCTCGAAAAAGACCATCTTCCCCAGTATTTCGAGATTTACAAAGGAGACATCCAGATGCCGCGAGACGGTTATGTCTCGAATTCCTGGCCACGCTTCAAGCCTGACCCCTGGGAGAATGCTAGAAACCTGCAATTCTTCCTCGATAAATTTGTTTCTCATCCAGTTTTGCCGCAGAATGACAGATACCCTATAGGACCTCGGTACAGGGAGTCAGTGACGCCCTTCTTTAGATGATATTGAGCCCTGCTGACATGGTATTAGTTATGGAGACTTCCCCAACTTTGGACTGCTGCTCGAATCTCATGCTCCGCGGTGGCAGGTTCAAACGGCGTGGGATATGCCGGATCACCGTCCCCACATGAAGTGCATGGTCATCCACGCCACCGAGGGCGATGAGCGCCTCTTACGTGGGGAACTGTTGACAATTATTGATATAATCCGGGGGCGCCTCAGTCATAAAGCAACCCGTGCTTCGGTGAATGCTCCGGTATGGCGTATCCTGTTAGTGGAAAAGGGATCCTACTGACAAGTCATAGATCCTTCTCTTTTCCTTTATGGGCTCGTGTGCCCGCATGTTGGAGGCCAATATGGATAGCGAGGGGCTTGTGGTGCGAGCAACACGACTCTATGATTTCAAGGAAGAGGAGGATGTAGATTTCTCGCTTTCGAGATTTTTCGCGCGGTGGTGGATGGGTCACCCTGCGGATATGTCTACGAGTTAATGCGATGGTGTGCGGAAGGTTTGCTTTGGTAACGGCGTCTAGGGGGATACCGGGTTATGTAATATGGGCTTTTTGGTAATAACATACATATACTTCCATCTTCATCCTTGTCTAGAAGGAGATTTTTCATGAATCTTCAATCAGGCGTCTCTAATGGATGGCATGCAGCATCTATAAACCTTGGTTAGTGTGGTATCGAGATACCTTCACGGCCAGGTGAAAAGCCACCAATGTTAGTGTCTACTAACTAACTACATGTATGCATTATTAGATATAATGTCTATAGGCAAAAAAAGGAAGAAGAAAAAGAAACGGCCCGAGCCGCGGATCGAACGCGGGACCTCTCGCAAATATGCTTGGGTTTGTACCCTAAGCGAGAATCATACCACTAGACCACCCGGGCTGTTAAGGGTTTCAGTTGCATTATTTGCGTGCATGAGGTAGTTATCCTATGAAGGTACTTTTGATTGTGGGGAATTGCAATATGGCTAGCATTCACTGGAGTGAACTATATTGATTGGTGGTGGGTATGTACTATCTAGATCGTATATCTCACTTATCTAGTGGGTTTGGACTGTATCTGTGCATTGTGGGACTGAGGGATTTTTCTGGATTTAAAGTGTACACGTTGGTGTGGGTATATATACTATACTAACTCATGTTTGTTTCTTCAGATGTATTCCTTCGTGAGTCTGCGACTCTATTACCTTTTCAATTCTGACAAACACCCAATCATTATTACTGAACAGAATAGTGAACTACTCGGCTATATCGGCTGAGCCCCTCTTGATTAGACAATTGTACTTATCACATAAATTAATACACATTCCTTCATTCTTTTAGCGCAAACTAAAAATCATCCAGAATTGTCGATACGGGACTATCACCGTGATGTCTCAGGTTGAGTTCACAATCCCACATGGCAACCTGACGAGGCTGATTGGCAGATTACGTGACAATGGCGTAGATACACCTCGGCTAAGTCATGTTTATTCTGACAAGTAACTCCGAGTGCAACTGTTGGTTGACAAAACTATTTTAGGATGACCGTTAGCCACCCCATAGTTGGCCGGATTGGCCTCCCGGAAGATTAGTTTGAAATAGGTCCTAACGGGCAGATGGAGTGATTGGCAGCTCCATTGCATCGGGACAGTCTAACAGTCAACTAACATGTTGGGATGACTCCGACCTTGATAAGTGATTATATTAAACCACGTTTGGCCCCCAAACGAGACTGACAAGCACAAAATCCAGGCGCATAATCTGCCCAATCGGCTCCGGACAATGTCCCACTCTGCATGCCACTAGGACTGGATTTTAATCAATGTCAGTGGAACTAGTTCGCTGCCATGTTGGATAGCTATGCCTTGGGGTTCAAGCCAGTCCGTATAGCCCCATCGGCGGGCAAAAGAACAATGGCACCATTTGAGCCTCAGAAAAGCGATTTTGGCCCCAATTGACAATGGGATTGTGGCCTATAAGTACCGCAAGGGCTTCACTGTTTGAAGTTCCACCATTCGATTGATATTCAACCAGACATCATGGTCCAGGGCGACTGCTATAAGACCGAACCCTCTGCGGAGATGCCGCACACCCCCAAGGTTAGTGCGCTTTTCAACCATCTATGTAACTACAGTCCATCCTGACTCGAAAGCCAGAACCGTTCAATCTTCTACCACCTCTACAGTCTGTACCTGTTCTCTCGGAATGACTTCAAAATCATCCTGCTCCCGCAAACCGCCGTGGGTGTCTTCCAGGCCCTCGCAGGAAATGTCGTGACAACAAATAACACGCCCCACCCGGCGATGATCTTAGCTCGGGTCCCGCTGGTGGCCTTCTGGAACTGGATTAATCTGTTGATTTTCAATCTCGCCAATCAGCGATTACCCAGCTCCATTGTGGAAGACTCCATCATCAAGCCATGGCGCCCCGTCGTCTCAGGCCGCGTCTCCGAACACGAGGCCCGCTGGCTCCTCCTCCTCTTACTCCCCCTTACCATCTGTCTCTCCTACTGCCTCAACACCTCCTACGAGGCCATGGCCATGATCGCTATGGTCTGGATGTACAACGACCTCGGCGGTGCTGACGAGAACCACGGCTTCCGAAACCTGCTAAATGCCTTCGCCTTCGCCTGCTACGGCTCCGGCTCCACCATCATCGCCGCGGGCTATGGCCAACACGGACTGAACCAAGCAGGCTACATCTGGCTGAGTATGATCGGCCTGATCGTCTTCACCACGCTCCAGGTCCAGGACATCCCAGACATCGAAGGCGATTCCGCCCGTGGCCGACGGACCTTCCCCATTGTCCACGGTCACTGGGCCGCGCGCTGGTCCGTAGCCCTAGGAACCCTCCTCTGGTCAGCCATCTGTCCGACATTCTGGTGTCTAGATGTCACCGGCTACCTCCTGCTGCTTGTGCCAGGCGCCCTCATCGCATACCGAACGCTATCCATCCACGGCGCAGCAGAAGATGACACAACGTATAAAATGTGGTGTGGCTGGCTGGTCCTGGTCTATTTGCTTCCTCTTTACAAGAACCCGGTGGCGTTGACGCAGGATTTTCCAATCCAAAATGTGTGGTGATTTGTTTTGTTGATTCCGTATTTTGTGTTTCATCCAATTGGGCTTGAAATTAGAATGTTAGATGATAATAATGACATTATGATTCGTATCCTTGCAGAAATTTATAATAGACCCTTGTATTAGTACTGGTCTGAGGCTGACGTGCGTGGTGTTGGTCTGAGGAATAGAGATTATTGGCCAAGATGCTTTTCTCCACTACACAGGGGTGTGCTGGGAATCCCTGATAAGACCCTGTGGGGGAGACTCGCGTGGATTCCTGCGATCACGTCTTCGGCTGGGGGGTTATATTTGGACGGTGCCATGTTGAGTCTTTGACGTGCTGGTGTAGTATACATAATTTATACGGATTTCGGGAAATATTGCTAGCTAAGAACTACGTTATACATGCATATGTGCAATAGTGTAGCCGATATTGCTTTCACTTAGCCGGTCTCGACTACTTTTCTAGATCGAGGAGCATGGACCCCAGAGTCAGAGCTAACAAGTCACAAGCTGTACGTAGAAAGCCCCTCTTAAGGTGCAATTCCCACAGCCAGAAATACGTCGATCTCCGGACCAGCCCGTACACACCACCGAACCCCGAGCGGACCTTGCTGATCTTCCCCCACACCAAAGCGGACATTCGCGCCCTCCGGTCCTTGGCGGCGGGGACAATGGTTGTCTCTGACTCTGGGAGAAAGTTCGCCTCCACTAGTGTCAGGGCAATGGAGGCGGGGAGGACCACGCCCATCCGGAGTATGAGGGCTGGGAGTATTGTAAACGTGTCGTAGTAAGCGAGGAAATGAAGGGGTAGAGAGTCTGGATCGATGTGCGAGAACAGCTTGTCGTAGGAGTGGCTGACGGCCTCGGGGAGATAGTCTATTATTGTCTGAGCGGAAGCGCAGACCAGGGACGGTACGAGTAGTCTTGTCCATATTCTGCGGTTGTGGCGCAGTTTGGAAACTGATGCTGTTGGCGAGGTTGTGGATATGATGGAATGCGTCCAGGTCATGTGGAGCTCTGTGAGCAGGGCTGTCGCGATTAGCCTTGCGATGGGCCGTAGGGACTGATGGCGTAGGAATACATTGTGTATGATGAATGTGAGCGTGTATAGCGCGGTGTAGTACGTTATTCCTGCCTTCATGCCTCTGAGAAGCATCTGGGGTCCCCCGCTGGAATAGAGAAATGCTGTTGTTCTGGTCACGCTGCGGGTGGTCGGAGGCTCGTGGATGTTTCTGACAAACTCGGTCGTACTCTGGCCCATTGCATGCAGCCTCTCACTTTCGAGTATCAGCATCGTGGCTACTACATGACTGAAGTAGTAGTCAATCTTCCGCAGGCGATAGCATTAGCAAATAAGCGGAGTGACACGGGGGATTGAAGAATCGGCGCAAGCTTACAAGACTGCTTATGGCGATGCTTACGAGATCTATAATAGCAATGCCCCCTGGGAGATATCCATCATCAGCACCTGAGAGATACCTCCAAACCATGGTAACAGCATTATCGAGAGTGTTGGAAGAGATGAGAAAGCTGAATGAGTGGAGGAGTTGGAAACTGATGAATTGTACGACTAGATCGAGTGCCATCGCTGTGATGATTCATAAATAAATGATTGAAAGGTTGAGATAGAATTCTTGTGCAAATTGAAATGAGACGGTGATTGAGGGTTGTCAGTCACATGGATGGTCACGTTTCGAGTTTGACTGGTTTTCTTTCTTTTCTTTCTTTTCCTCCTCCTCTTCTTCTTCTTCTTTCTCTTCCCTTTTATCTCTTCACTTCCTCAAAACATCCACTTATCTCCAAAGACTGAACAATGAGAATGAAAGTTGGTTTACAGATGAAAAAGAATATTTCTTTAACAACCCCTCCTGAAATGAGTTTGCTTATGTTTCACATTTTGAACCTTCACAATGAGTCGGAGGAATTTGCTCTCCTGTGTAACTGTACTTAAATGATCTCTGCAATTAATTGGTTACAAGCTGTCTGATGGATCCATGAAAATAATATTCACTGTCACCAAAAGGCCCGGACCCCGCTCTAGAGCCATAGGTCTGTGAATGTCCCTGACGAATCATCTACCTAGATTCTGAAATGACCTTTAAAGCTTACTGACTGTCACCTCCACACCTTCTTCACTTATCAATAGCAACCGCCACCTCGAAGGGAAATTCCACCATGTCTGGAAGAGGATTTGAACATGGCACTCGACGAGGAAGAGCAGGAAGAGGGGGAGGAGGAAGAGGAGGCAAAGGAGGCTCAGGATCAATTATCTATTTGTTTGTGTACCCTTACAGCCGCGAAAGACGGCTCATACTGACGGGTCGCCTTTGTTGATTTCAGGCCCTCAAATGGCAAAGCGCCGACCCCAGATCCTTCCGTCAGGACTGCCGAAGACGCAATTCAGAAATCTCTAAGTGATCCGCTTCTGCTTCGGAAACTGCAACTTGATTCTGAGTTCCCATCCCGCCCTGGTTATGGAAAAAAGGGTAAACCTGTGGTCCTATGGGCAAACTACTTTCAGATCACGCCCGATAAAGACCTGGTTCTGCATCAATATGTGATTGACATCCAACCCAGTGCTACGGGAAGAAAACGGGCTCAGGTCATTAGATTGCTTCTTGAATCACCAGAACTGGCACCAATGACCGGCCAGGTGGTTACAGACTTCAAATCGATTCTTCTTTCCCGCGAGGAACTTTCACAGACTGGAAATGAATTGGCTCTACAAATCATCTATCGTGATGAGAAGGAAGACGATCCATCCCCAGATGCTGCGACCTACAGGGTTCACCTGTCGCACACGAATACCCTCCGTGTCTCCGAGCTTATTGAGTAT